TAACCACCATCACCAAATACTTAAGGTATAGGATCCTCATTTTAAAGCTATAAACAGTTGAGTGAGAGTTTGACCACCATTTAATATAACAATGAGAAAAAACTATGTTAATTGATATAGCTAGTAGGATACATCAATAACTTAAATATATAGTAATTAGCTAGGTAAGAACAACTTTATCAACTAACACAAGGAATAAAATTGTTAGAAATTGCGTAATTCAAATCTGGTATTGGAATAAGAATCAAGAGATCTTCAATCCAAGCTAAATGTATTATATGCAAAATGTATGTATGATAAGTATGAAGGTTCGTATATACGGGTCCACTGAAATACCTCGCAGGGCACTCAGAGAACTGAATCCATTGTTACAGGTTCTTCTTCAAATACTCTGACAGAGAGAGAGAGTTCCCACCTCTCTGCTGACCAATCAGAGTAGACTGAGCGTGGTTTAGACTTACTCAGCCAATCCGTTGGCGCACGGGTTGGTCCCAACCCCTCGGCGCTCCATTTGTTGCACACTGTTGCCAGGCATAAGTTTATCATAACAACCTGTGGAGTTAGCACTTTTTTTGCAGTACCCATGTCCTTGGAAGGTTCACAGATCACAAAGAAGCAGTGTTCGTATCTGTGAGAAATACAAGTCTTATCTATAAGAAATACAAGTTTTATCTCATCCTAGCCCCTAACGTTCCTCACATGAATCACAGCCTGTTATGTGAAACAATTTATATCAGTATAGTTCAAACCTATGCTCCTCATTAATGCATTCCTTCTAAGCTATTCATCACTTCAATCCAATTATTAGAAAATAGAACCTCACAAATGGCTCGCTAACACCCGAAAGCTAACATTAGTTAGCTAGCTAGCTTGACCAGGTGTTTAGGGAAAAGGTATTTGGCTAGACTAAGGTTAGCTGACTAAAATGTGCCCAGATTCGGAAATTACAAGTTAACAAGTTAGCTAGTTAACTCGTGTCAGTTTAGTTAGATTGCGTTAGCTAACTAAGCTTCTGAATCTGGGCACATTTTAGCCAGCTAAAGTAGGTAGTTACTAGCTAGTGAACTATTTAGGTATATAGGATTAGCTAGCATCAACTAACACTGTTTGTTGCATTAGCAAATGTGGGCTAGCTAGGTTAGCTAATGTTAGCTAGCATGCTAACAGTAGGCTTACCTCAATGTGTTTTTTTAGGTTCGAAGGCGAGTTCTTGAACGCTAGTATTTCCTTAACTTTTGGTAAACATAACAGACATTTCCTTCATTCCGAAAAAATAAAATGGATTAGGGCTGTTGGCATGGGAAGTGGTGCCAGTTACAGTCAGCGACCACAGAGTCAACCCATCTACAGGCTGCGCCCTCTTCCACCGCTGCTGTTGATTGATTGGCTGGCCAGCTGTTGGGCTCGGGATGGGCTCGGCTTCTGTGCTGCTCTCTGCTTTATAAGGCTGGACACGCAGGGCTCAGTAGTAAACATTCTCACTCAGACTCATACTTAGGTCTGCCAGGTCATCACTGGTTCAGTGAAACTCTACTCTGCCACCTGTTAGACTTTCAGCAGCAACATGGCTACCTTTGTATCGGTGAGTTCTTTTCCACAGCATTAGCGTTCAGCACTGTCAACAGCCTGACTCAGAATCTGCCGACACTGCATGTTTTGTTTCTATGGATGCATGCAGTTTTTATGGAAATTATGGATGTGTTGGGATCAGAGGGTTTGGGATGTCATTTGGCATGTGCCTGTCAGTGATGTTGAAATTGTTGTTTTTGGAATGTCCTAATCTCGGTTAGACCTAAACCAGAACAAAAATGTCCCGTCATTTGGTCAGATGTTTATGTTGTCTGTCATAATTTGGTCAGATGTGTATGTTTACGTTGTCTGTCCACGAGAGATTCGGGGAGTCCTGACGTCTTTGGGTGGGGTAGATTACTTGATTTCGTAATCTTTATGTTGCAACAAATGTAACACTACCTCTTGGTGATTTGCTGACGGGTCACAGATGGATGCTAGTTCTGTTTGTGTGCAGCAGTGCACCTTATAGGCTTGTAAAGTTTCCGCGGACCTTGTGACAGGCCCGTTGTGGTGCTGTTTATAGGCTTCGTCCCAGATCATGAAATGATCACACTCACATTTCACGTTTACCGAAAGGGCACAAAGTGTTGTTGTCTGGCAGGGCTCCAGGAGATGCCAATTGCTGTCTTGGGTCACAGGAACAACATCATGACATTGAGTCCAATTGGCTTGCTAAAGTGTGTATTTCATTGCGTTTTGTTTACTTGCACACACTATTTTATGTAAAAGCACAAGAGGACATACTTGAAATGCAGAAGTCCATATTACACACACAACACAGGCCATTTTGTAACCTAGATATAGGATAGATGCAGAGATAAAAACAGAGTTTAGTAAGCCAATGTTTTCCTCCTGAGACAAGTCTTACAAGTAATTGTCTGCTGTGAGAAGGGGAGGGGGGGTGAGAAGAACTAAGAAAGAGAAATGAGAGTGACTGAGCGAGTCTTGAGTAGGCCTCTGGTTGCCTGCGTCACTCAGGGCATATGAGCGCCGTCTCCTTTTAGCCCTCTGTCATACAGTAGCCCCTCTAACCCTGGCCCCTCTGGCCTCTCACCCTGGCCCTCTGGCCTCTCACCCTGCCCCTCTGGCCTCTCACCCTGGCCCCTCTGGCCTCTCACCCTGGCCTCTCACCCTGGCCCTCTGGCCTCTCACCCTGCCCCTCTGGCCTCTCACCCTGGCCCTCTGGCCTCTCACCCTGCCCCTCTGGCCTCTCACCCTGGCCCTCTGGCCTCTCACCCTGCCCCTCTGGCCTCTCACCCTGGCCCCTCTGGCCTCTCACCCTGGCCCCTCACCCTGGCCCCTCTGGCCTCTCACCCTGGCCCCTCACCCTGGCCCCTCTGGCCTCTCACCCTGGCCCCTCACCCTGGCCCCTCTGGCCTCTCACCCTGGCCCCTCACCCTGGCCCCTCTGGCCTCTCACCCTGGCCCCTCACCCTGGCCCCTCTGGCCTCTCACCCTGGCCCCTCACCCTGGCCCCTCTGGCCTCTCACCCTGGCCCCTCACCCTGGCCCCTCTGACCTCTCACCCTGGCCCCTCACCCTGGCCCCTCTGACCTCTCACCCTGGCCCCTCTGACCTCTCACCCTGGCCCCCTCACCCCTGGCCCCTCTGGCTCTCACCCTGGCCCCTCACCCTGGCCCCTCTGACCTCTCACCCTGGCCCCCTCTGGCCTCTCACCCTGGCCCCTCACCCTGGCCCCTCTGCGCCTCTCACCCTGGCCCCTCACCCTGGCCCCTCTGGCCTCTCACCCTGGCCCCTCTGACCTCTCACCCTGGCCCTCTGACCTCTCCACCCTGGCCCCTCACCCTGGCCCCTCTGACTCTCCACCCTGGCCCTCTGACCTCCTCACCCTGGCCCCTCTGGCCCTCTCACCCCTGGCCCCAGCTGGCCTCTCACCCTGGCCCTCGCTCTCACCTGGCCCCTGCCCTCACCCTGGCCCCTCTGGCCTCTCACCCTGGCCCCTCTGACCTTCACCCTGGCCCCTCTGGCCTCTCCACCCTGGCCCTCTGGCCCTCTCACCCTGGCCCCTCTGGCCTCTCACCCGGCCCTCTGGCCTCTCACCCTGGCCCCTCTGGCCTCTCACCCTGGCCCCTCTGGCCTCTCACCCTGGCCCCTCTGGCCTCTCACCCTGGCCCCTCTGGCCTCTCACCCTGGCCCCTCTGGCCTCTCACCCTGGCCCCTCTGGCCTCTCACCCTGCCCCTCTGGCCTCTCACCTTGCCCCTCTGGCCCTCACACTGGCCCCTCTGGCCTCTCACCCTGGCCCCTCTGACCTCTTCACCCTGGCCCCCTCTGGCCTCTCACCCTGGCCCCTCTGACTCTCACCCTGGCCCCTTGGCCTCTCACCCTGCCCCTTCGGACCTCTCACCCTGGCCCTCTGACCTCTCACCTGGCCCCTCTGACCTCTCACCCTGGCCCCCTGCATCTCACCCTGCCCCTCTGACCTCTCACCCTGGCCCTCTGGCATCTCACCCTGGCCCCTCTGGCCTCTCACCCTGGCCCCTCTGACCTCTCACCCTGGCCCCTCTGACCTCTCACCCTGGCCCCTCTGACCTCTCACCCTGGCCCTCTGGCATCTCACCCTGGCCCCTCTGGCTCTCACCCTGGCCCCTCTGACCTCTCACCCTGGCCCCTCTGGCCTCTCACCCTGGCCCCTCTGGCCTCTCACCCTGGCCCTCTGGCATCTCACCCTGGCCCCTCTGACCTCTCACCCTGGCCCCTCTGGCCTCTCACCCTGGCCCCTCACCCTGGCCCTTCTGACCTCTTACCCTGGCCCCTCACACTGGCCCCTCTGACCTCTCACCCTGGCCCTCTGGCATCTCACCCTGGCCCCTCTGCACTCTGGTTCCAGGGGCCATTTTGTTAGTGCAATCGATGGGATGGACAGAATGGGGCAGTCGCCAGATGACCCACCCAGGCTCTGAAAGTGCATTGGATTGCACTTACTTCATCTGTAGTTGTATGGAATGTTGATTTGATTTTGTGTGTCAGAGAAAGGCCTATAGCTAGACATCTGGGGCTGTGCAGCTGCTGAAAAGAGACTAAGCCAAATAACCTGGCATGACACAATCATGATTGTTATCCTGTTTCTATTGACGTGTGTGAATGGAAAAGGAGTGGTCTGGATGTGGGTTTTCAGCACAGGGAGACAGGGTCTGTGTCCCAAATGATGGCCCTATTCCCTAGGCAACCAGGGAAGTAATCAGGGAGTTAACCACTTTTGGTTAGTCACTTTTGGTAACTCACTTGCAGACATTAACTTCCAGATTTTTTTTTGAGACACGTTGTGTCCAATTAAGAGTAATCTCCACATGAGAATCCTGTTCCCTGTGTGAAATTTAAATAGAAACAATGGATTTGTCACCTGTAAATACAGAGAAATGTCATTACTCCTACTTAGAATTTAATCCACTCCTCCTCTCGCCATCCCAGATGGCTACCTGCCACACCTGTAACAACAAGTCCAAGCATAACGGCGTCAACAGGGACTTCATGACCGCTCTCTCCAAGAGCCACGGCACCCCCATGAGCGCAGGCAAACGCAAGACTCCCCAGTCCACCAACAGAACCAACGCCATGGGCATCCCAAAGTCTGCCTCCAAAGACAAGACGCCCTGCAGTACGCCAAGGTAAACAAACAATACCAGGCCTCCGGTACCTCAAATGTTACCCATTTTATTTGTAGAGGCTACATCTCGCTTAGGTGAAAATCACAATTTTAAAGGACTTCTTGAGAAGTGAGGGCAATAGATGGTATCACTCAACTGATGGACACGGTGTGGTCACTGGACACACCGATTGGCACGTGTGTTTTTCTGTTGCTCATTAGAAAAAATTGATTTCAGTCTTGGAGGTGTGTTTCCTGACCAATTCCGCATTTGGTTAATGATGTTTGACCCCCATGAGACACTGTAGAAGCCTATTTTACTTCCTCAAAATCCCCAGAATGAATCTAATATAACTCAATTATATTATATAATTAAATTATATGCCATTTAGCAGACGCTTTTATCCAAAGCGACTTACAGTCATGCGTGCATACATTTTTGTGTATGGGTGGTCCCGGGGATCGAACCCACTACCTTGGCGTTACAAGCGCCGTGCTCTACCAGCTGAGCTACAGAGGACCACACTCAAGAAATCGGTAATTAATTTTGACATTTTCACAGAGGATGTTTTAGTTGAGCAATTTTACATCTAACTAAGTTGTTTGGTGCACTATTTCTCAAGTAAAAAAATGTGTGAAGTGTTGTCTTATGTAAACAAAGTCAGAGCTGCTGGGCAGGTCTGTCTCTCTGTCTATGCTATTGGATAGAGAGCAATCACCGCAGCTGTTCACCCCATGTTAGTGGGCTAATGGACATCGTCCAATCAAAACCCAACCTTCCTTTAGCTGTTGTGACGGACGGATGTTCCAAACTCCATTTTAGACGAGACTGACTTTATGATGAAAATTATCCTATTTACACTTCAGTCAATTTTGACACTAGAATAACTGTTTCTGACTCATATTGATGCCACATAGGTCGTTTTCAAAGGGATTCGTTGCTTTTTAAAGGCAGTCGCTCTTTAACCTTTAATCAGTGTCAGCTTGCAGATTCTGACATGACAGTATTCCTATATTTCTAGATCAACTGAGACCACCGGTTCCTCCTCGGCCTCAAAGCCCGCCAGTGTGAAGAAGTCGGCCTTCTCCCGCCTCAAGAGGTTCCTCATGCTGGAGGACAACCAGAAGACCAAGACCAAGGGAGGACTCAAAGACTTCCTCTCCTCCCTCTGAATGACTGACAAACACTGGGCTCCACTGCATCGGCCCAACAGTCAGCCATGACACCACCATGATATGAAACTGATGCACCAGTCTCTGCCCTGCTTAGAATTCAGAATTGCCCTGCTTAGAATTCAGAATGGCCCTGCTTAGAATTCAGAATGGCCCTGTTTAGAGTTCAGAATGGCCCTGCTTAGAATTCAGAATGGCCCTGTTTAGTATTCAGAATGGCCCTGTTTAGAATTCAGAATGTCCCTGTTTGGAATTCAGAATTGCCCTGTTTGGAATTCAGAATGGACCTGCTGGAATTCAGAACAACAAGGCTATAGGGGGAGGGGGGAGGGGTCAGCTGTCAGTCAATATGCGCTACAGCGCCACCTGTTGAGACAATTAAAGGGGCACGTTTTCTCTTCTTCACACGCCACCCCCCAACTGCCCCTGAGGTCCCCCTTCAGGAGAGCTGTCCAAGCTGAGGATGGTCCCACATCACGCCACCCCCCAACTGCCCCTGAGGTCCCCCTTCAGGAGAGCTGTCCAAACTGAGACTGGTCCCACATCATGACATCGCTCAGGAATTCCACTGTCCCAATAGGATGATGGGAACGGGTATGGGAAAGCGAAGCTCACCCTCTCTTCCATGGTATTAATGATGAGGCAAGCAAAATAAATCGTTTGGTGTTATAGGACGTTTTGATTGAGAGGGGGATTTTTATTTGTTACAATCACATTTATATGATATGACTATGTTTATTAATGCTTAAGTTTCATACTTCTTGAAGTTCGTTCTTTTTTCTGTTTACTTGGTTGTTGTCCGTTTTTCTTCAGGGTTTATTTTCGTGGCTCCGCCAAGTAGGGCTGATCGTTTGTTGCTACTATCTTATGATCACTATGCCAAACTACTTTTTCTTGAGGTTACATTTTTGTATACTGGTGGTTTTGAGATAATCATATTTGGATGAATAGGAAACATCAACTGTTTACAATGAAATAGGCTATAGGCCTGAAAACGTTGACACGATTTAAGGACAAACCAAACATTTCTTACAATAGTTGTTCTGTTTCTTGTTGAAGATGCTTTTTACCTGTTAGTTAGTTCTTACGTTACAGTTTATATTCACAATGTCTATGAGACTGCATGTTGTAATGACTGCTTTGATTCAACACACTTTATAATGGATTTCATAACAGAAAAATATTTTCTTTGTTCGTAATGAATCCAATGTGTGGATCTGTGTCATTGCACAGAATCCTGAATTACCTCACATTTATATTCCTTCTACACTTTGATTCTCTGAAATAAAGTTTTTTCAATCTAAATATTACTGTGTTGAATGATAGGACTCATGGAGATATGTTGAGTGTCAGTGTTGCATTGTATTCACAATGCCTGTTTTCAGAAAACAGAAGTTGTAACTCACACATTTAGTGCTACAGATAAAACTTTAAAGGTTCACCCTACTACTTGTTTTTGATAAACACCAGGAATGAGGCTGGAGAAATGTAACCACTCTTAAATTCAGAGCTATTGATGCAAGGACTGACCATCCATGAGATCGAAATTATGTTTTGAACACTATATTGTGTTTGTTAACAATAACATTGTTTACAAACAATGGAGTAAAGCAAGCTTATGGGTTATGACAGTTGAACAGCTCATGAGGCATTTTTAAGTTATGTTCTTCAATAATTATTTTTTATTTCACCTTTATTTAACCAGGTAAGCCAGTTGAGAACAAGTTCTCATTTACAACTGCGACCTGGCCAAGATAAAGCAAAGCAGTGCGATAAAAACAACAACACAGAGTTACATATGGGGTAAACAAAACATAAAGTCAAAAATACAACAGAAAATATATATACAGTGTGTGCGAATGTAGTAAGTTATGGAGGTAAGGCAGTAAGTAGGCCATAGTGCAAAATAGTTACAATTTCGTATAACACTGGAATGATAGATGTGCAAAAGATGATGTGCAAATAGAGATACAGGGGTGCAAATTAGCAAAATAAATAACAATATGGGGATGAGGTAGTTGGGTGGGCTAATTTCAGAAAGGCTGTGTACAGGCGCAGTGATCGGTAAGTTGCTCTGACAACTGGCACTTAAAGTTAGTGAGGGAGATAAGAGTCTCCAGCTTCAGAGATTTTTGCAGTTCGCTCCAGTCATTGGCAGCAGAGAACTGGAAGGAATGGCGGCCAAAGGAGGTGTTGGCTTTGGGGATGACCAGTGAGATATACCTGCTGGAGCACATACTACGGGTGGGTGTTGCTATGATGACCAGTGAGCTAAGATAAGGCGGGGATTTGCCTAGCAGTGATTTATAGATGACCTGGAGCCAGTGGGTTTGGCGACGAATATGTAGTGATGGGCAGCCACAATGGTGGATAGTATATGGGGCTTTGGTGACAAAACGGATGGCACTGTGATAGACTACATCCAATTTGCTGAGTAGGGTGTTGGAGGCTATTTTATAAATGACATCGCCGAAGTCAAGGATCGGTAGGATAGTCAGTTTTACGAGGGCATGTTTGGCAGCATGAGTGAAGGAGGCTTTGTTGCGAAATAGGAAGCCGATTCTAGATCTAACTTTTGATTGGAGATGCTTAATGTGAGTCTGGAAGGAGAGTTTACAGTCTAACCAGACACCTAAGTATTTGTAGTTGTCCACATACTCTAGGTCAGACCTGCCGAGAGTAGTGATTCTAGGCGGGTGCAAGCAGCGTTCGGTTGAAGAGCATGCATTTAGTTTTACTAGTGTTTAAGAGCAGTTGGAGGCTACGGAAGGAGTGTTGTATGGCGTTGAAGCTCGTTTGGAGGTTTGTTAACACAGTATCCAATGAAGGGCCAGATGTATACAAAATGGTGTCGTTTGCATAGAGGTGGATCCGAGCGTCACCAGCACCAAGAGCGATATCATTGATATACACAGAGAATAGAGTCGGCCCGAGAATTGAACCCTGTGGCACGCCCATAGAGACGGCCAGAGGTCCAGACAACAGGCCCTCCGATTTGACACATTGAACTCTATCTGAGAAGTAGTTGGTGAACCAGGCGAGGCAGTCATTAGAGAAACCAAGGCTATTTAGTCTGCCAATAAGAATGCGGTGGTTGATAGAGTCGAAAGCCTTGGCCAGGTCGATGAAGATGGCTGCGCAGTACTGTCTTTTATCGATCGCGTTTATAATACCGTTTAGGACCTTGAGCGTGGCTGAGGTGCACCCATGACCAGCTCGGAAACCGGATTGCATAGCGGAGAAGGTACGGTGGGATTCGAAATGGTCGGTGATCTGTTTGTTAACTTGGCTTTCAAATACTTTCGAAAGGCAGGGCAGGATGGATATAGGTCTATAACAGTTTGGATCTAGAGTGTCACCCCCTTTGAAGAGGGGAATGACCGCGGCAGCTTTCCAATCTCTGGGGATCTCAGACGTTACGAAAGAGAGGCTAATTTTAGAAAGAAAGTGTCCAGATTATCTAGCCCAGCTGATTTGTAGGGGTCCAGATTGTTTAGCTCTTTCAGAACATCAGCTGTCTGAATTTGAGTGAAGGAGAAGCAGTGGGGGGGCATGGGCAAGTTACAGCGGAGGGTGCAGAGCTGGTGGCCGGGGTAGTGGTAGCCAGGTGGAAAGCATGGCCAGCCGTAGCAAAATGCTTGTTGAAATTCTCGATTATTGTAGATTTATCGGTGGTGACAGTGTTTCCTAGCCTCAGTGCAGTGGGCAGTTGGGAGGAGGTGCTCTTATTTTCCATGGACTTTACAGTGTCCCAAAACTTTTTGGAGTTAGTGCTACAGGATGCAGATTTCTGTTTGAAAAAGCTAGCCTTTGCTTTCCTAACTGATTGTGTATATTGGTTCCTGACTTCCCTAAAAAGTTGCATATCTCGTGGGCTGTTCGATGCTAATGCAGTACACCACAGGATGTTTTTGTGCTGGTCAAGGGCAGTCAAGTCTGAGGATGTCACGCCCTGGCTCTGGGGACTCTTAAATGTTGAGCCAGGGTGTGGATTTTCATTGTTTAGTTTTCTATGTTATTCGTTCTAGATCGTTTATATCTATGTTGGCCAGGGTGGTTCCCAATCAGAGACAGCTGTAGCTCGTTGTCTCTGATTGGGGACCATACTTAGGCAGCCTTTTGGCATGTTAGTTTTGTGGGATCTTGTTCCGTAGGGTTTTGTGTATAACCTAGGACTATCGTTTGGTTTATTGTTTGGTTTGTGTGTGTTAAGTACAAATAAAGAATGTACGCTTATCACGCTGCGCCTTGGTCCGCTTCATCTGTCGACGATCGTGACAGAAGATCCCACCACCAGAGGACCAAGCAGCGTGCCCAGGAGGAGAAGTTGGCGATGTCCCAGGTGGGCGAATGGTGGTCTTGGGAGGACATATTCGAGGGCAGAGGGCCATGGGCAAAAGTAAATGCCCAGGCAGGAGAGGAGAAACGGCGCCAACCGTGCCGACGACGGACACGCGAGAGGCAACCCCAAGTAATTTTTTGGGGGGGCACACGGCGTGGACGACAAGGCTGCTGGAGGCATCTACAGGACGAATCGGCGGATTAGGAGGCCACCAGGTTTGGGGGGTTGGAAGGGTGGTTGGCGGAGCCTAGAGGTAGAGCAGAGCCAACTCCCCGTACTCAGGCTAGGCAGCGTGAGACTGGGCAGGTTCCGTGTTATGCGGAGCCACGTACTGTGCCGCGAGTGTTCCGGCACAGTCCTGTACGTCCTGTGCTAGCACCACGCACGTGTCGTGCTAAGGTGGGCATGCAGCCAGGACGGAGTGTGCCGGCTCAACGCTCGTGGCCTCCAGTACCCCTCCTCGGTCCCGGATATCCTGCGCCAGTGCCACGTGCTGTAGTGCCAGTACGAGTGCACAGCCCTGTACGTCCTGTGCTGATGCCTCACACAGATTGTGTGGAAATAGGCATTCAGCCAGGACGGGTTGTGTCAGCTCTCCGCTCCAGACCTCCAGTCCGTCTCCACAGTCCAGCCCGGCCTGTTCCTGTCCCTCGCACCA